ATTAACAGACCCCTATCACAGTTAACCAAAAGAAAGAAAGAAAGAACATCTCCAAATCAACAAAATCAGAGATGAAAGGGGAAACACCACAACAGACACCAAAAAGATCCAGAACATTATAAAGGAATGCTTTAAAAACCTATGTTACTAAATTTGAAAACCTAAAAGAAATGGATGGATATCTAAAAGCATGGGAATCACTAAAACTACACTAAAAAGAGATCAACAGCTTAAACAAACCCATATCATGTAAAGAAATTGAAAGAGTAATGCAAAATCTCCTGACTAAAAAAGCCCAGGACCATGGATTTATAGCAGAAATCTACCAGATATTTAAAGAAGATCTACATCCAGTACTACTTAATTTATTCAAAAAGATGGAAATGGAGGGAGAACTTCTAAATTCCTTCTATAAAGCAAGCATCACTCTAATACTAAAGCCAGATAAAGATACAACCAAAAAAGAAAACTACAGACCTACATCCTTAATGAACATAGATGCAAAAATTCTCAACAAAATACTTGCAAATCGCATACAGACACATCAAAAAAGATCATCCACCATGATCAAGGTGTCTTTATTCCAGAAATGCAGGGATAGTTCAATATATGTAATAAATCATATAAATGGGGTCATAAATCATATAAATGGGCTCAAAGACAAGAATCATATAGTCATCACAATAGATGCACAGAAGGCCTATGACAAAATTCAACATGCTCAAAGTCCTAAAAGGAATTGGACTGGAGGGAACATACCTCAACATAATTAAAGCCATATATAACAGACCCACAGCCAACATCATTCTAAATGGAGAAAAAAATCAGGAACCAGAAAAGGCTGTCCACTATCTCCACTCCTCTTTAACATAATGCTTGAAACTCTTGCAAGAGAAGGAAATTAAAGGAGTAATAATTGGAAGAGATCAAATTATCCCTTTTTGCATATGATATAATATATGAGATGCCAAAAATTCCACCAGAAAATTCCTAGAAATTATTAACACATAAATGGAGAAAAAAATAAGGAACCAGAAAAGGCTGTCCACTATCTCCACTCCTCTTTAACATAATGCTTGAAACTCTTGCAAGAGAAGGAAATTAAAGGAGTAATAATTGGAAGAGATCAAATTATCCCTTTTTGCATATGATATAATATATGAGATGCCAAAAATTCCACCAGAAAATTCCTAGAAATTATTAACACATTACACATTCTGGCAAGTTACAAAATTAATTTACAAAATTCTGTAGCCTTTCTATATACCAATAACAAGCAATCAGAGGAAGAGTACATGAAACACACAGCACAAAACACCTCAGATAGCCAAAGCAACCCTGAGCACTAAGAGCAATGCTGTGGGGATTACTATACCAGATATTAAACTGTATTACAGCGCTATAGACATAAAAGCAACATGGTACTGGCACAAAAAATAGACCCATAGATCAATGGAACAAAATTGTAGACCCAAATATGAGTACATACAATTTCAGCCACCTGATATTTGACAAAGGGGCCAAGAACACTCAGTGGAAGAAAGACAGCATGTTCACCAAATGGTGCTGGCAGAACTGGATCTCTACCTATAGAAGAATGAAACTAAACCCCTATCTTTCACCTTGCACAAAAATCAACTCCAAATGGATCAAAGACCTCAATGTGACGCCTGAAACTCTGAAACTGTGAGAAGAAAACATTGGCAATAACCTACAAGATATAGGTGTAGGAAAGGATTTTCTAAACTGGACATCAACTGCCCAGGAAACAA